CTGCATGGGCCCCTCCTGCCCCCCCCCCCACTCCTTTCTAATGATAGAACTAAAAAAGACTCCATAAAGAGTTTTTCTGTTGGCTTACACTGTGGGTCAAGAGTTGAAATTACTGAGAAGCTGGAATCACTAGGTTTGGCCCAGATCCAAACCCATCCACAGCAGGTGGCCAGCAGGGCGGCTGGCAGGAGCAAGCAGCCAGCAGGCTGCTGGTGGGAGTGGCCAACAGAGTGAGTGAGACATCTCCTGTCCTCAACCCCCAGAGCTCTGAAAATCACCTCTGAGCTCTGGCCTGCCCTGACCCAGGACAGCAACTATGAGTGGGGAACATAGAAAAGTTGGGCATGTGAATGGGACACTTACATTGCTGGACCTGTGAGTGTGAGAGGTAAAGGACATTGCTCAATCTACTTGAGCTGGGATTGATGCTTGTGGTTGGGTTATGAACTGTGTGGTGTTTTCCCAACTTAATGCCAAATTACTTCTCTCCCTCTTTCATTAAAAGTTTCTTTCCTACACTCAGACTCTGTGCTTGCGAGTGGGGAAGCATTGCCTCTCGGAGGCACCCAGGAGTGTGAATTTCCCAGGCTACTGTGGTGGGGGGGATGATGGCACCCATGTTTCCAGGGTTGATGACACTGCACAACAGGATGGTGTTAATGGCCCTCGCCTGTGGAAGGAGACAAACAGAGAATCACAGGAGTGCAAGGGCCCTTGGGAGGTCCCTGACTCCACCCCCACACAGATCAGGAGCAATCCCCACTTACACGTGTCCCAGCAGATCTTTGTGAGGGCGGGACTGAAAAATCTCCCAGAGAGGGCTTCCACCACCACCTCTTCCCTAGGGAACCCTATTCCAGCAATCAACTCCCCTTTTGGGACAACAATGGGAGAGCATCATATCTGTATGACCAGAGACCTGACAGTGGATCTTCCCATGCCAAACTGGTTCCTGATGGATCAGTAACTGTCTGGCATGGCAAGCTTCCACAGGGCTATGGCAACCCTCTTCTGGAGGGGATGGTGGATCTCATGTGAATGTCCCATAGCCTGAGGGCAGAGGCGAGCTCCAGAAAGTTCTCCTTTCCCATGCAGAAATTCTGGAGCCACTGCTGGTCATCCCACTGCTCCAGGATGGGCTGGTCCCACCAGTTGGCACTGGTATCCACATTCCAGAGGCGGTGGTGCACGGTGAACAGACAACGGCTGGCGAGATCCAGCAGCATGAGCTGTGCCCATAGAAAACTAGGGAGGATCTCCAAGATGAGCAGGGGGGTTGGGTTCCTGCAGGGCCTGGGATGCAGCCTGCAGAAACTGTTGAATGAGGTCCTGCACAAGCTTCAATAGTCATCCACTACCCAGAGGCAGCTATGGCTCCATACCTGGATTGCTGAGGTGTCTGCAAAGGCAACCATAGCAAACAGAGGAACAGGTTTGCTGTCCCTCAATGAGGTAGGTAAAGGAAAAAAGCCTGACACGCTGCTATACAGGGGGGTCCCTAGAAGCAAGAGCCTCAGGCAGCAACCATAGGAAGTAACTGCTGTCCCGATTCCCTGCCTGAAGTGCTTCTGAGTAGTCTTAAATGCGATTCAGCATCCAATCAGCATGGACCCTCTATTTGGAAATAGCTCAGCCCTATTTCGATGGGCATTTGCTGTGCAGATGTGCTATTTCAAAATAAACTATTTGGGTGCATCTAGACTGGCAAGATTTTGTGCAAAAGCGGTCACTTTTGCGCAAAAACTTGCCAGCTGTCTACACTGGCCGCTTGAATTTGTGCAAGAGCACTGACGTTGTAATGCACAAAATCAGTGCTTCTTGCACAAATACTTTCACGCTCCCGCTCGGGAAAAAGCCCTCTTGCGTAAGAATACTTGCACAAGAGGGCCAGTGCAGACAGGGAAGAACTGTTTTGCATCAAAAAGACCCAATGGCTAAAATGGCGATCGGGGCTTTCTTGCACAAAAGTGCATCTATACTGGCAATGGATGTTTTTATGCAAAAGCACTTTTTGTGCACTAGCATCCGTGCCAATCTAAATGTGCCTTTGCAGAAATACTTTTAATGGAAATACTTTTCCGTTAAAAGTATTTCCGCAAAATCATGCCAGTCTGGACGCAGCCTTTCAGGTTATTTATTCTGAAATAGCTCATTCCAAAATAAGTGTGTCATGTAGACATAGCCTAAGTGGTTTTTGTAACTTCCTTGAGCCATTTTTTATTTCTTACTGTCAGAGACGAGTACTGGCCAATGGTCTGATTTATTTGGTGATTCCTATGTTAAATGCTAGTAATTTCTTGAATTGAAAAAAAAGACAACAAAGCTGGAAAGAAATGTAGACAACTAATCAATTCTTCTCTGGCATCTAGTGTTTGTCATTAATCAAATTTGACTGTAACAGACATTAGCCAAGAAATTCTGTGACTGGTTTCCACTTTTACTATTGAATTGTAGAACACCAAAAGCTTTAGGCGAGTTCTATTAAAAATGGAACATAATCTACTATGAAAAGTACCATTTACAATGTATTTGGATGCCATGCTAGGATATATGTACTGCACGAGTTTCTTGTACACAATAAGAATTTATTTTATGAGGAATTGGGTTGATCATGAGATTTAGAATAGGAAATCAATCATTTCATCTCTAATTCACCAGTTTGAATTCTGCCCAGGCCAGTAGTAATGTTAAATCATTACCATTTGAAGGATATTTAGTTGCTTGTGAGAAATGAATCAGAGGCATCAGTCAAGTTCCTAGATTCTGATTCATGACGACACTAATGCATATGAGTAATGTTAATGTCAAAGGGACTCTTGCATATGATAAAAACTGAAAATGAGCGTGTGTATATCTTATTCCTGGGCCTAGTGGGTGTGTTACAATGTTATAACAATGCTAAATGTAGATTCCCCTAGCACTATAAATTCAAATGTTGCTATTAGCAATTATCCTTCTGCTAATTCACTTGACTGTGCATATAGTAAGTGCTTGATGTGGTATACTCTAACTGACAAACCCAAGAGAAGTGCCAGAATGTGCCACTTGTGAATTCACACACTTGAAGTCCCAAAGCAAACAATTGCAAATGATGTTCTTATTGCATTGTTACTCAATGTGTTGTGCAATGGCTCAATTAAAAGAAAAAGTAATCAATACAAAGTACTATTTTCCAGTTAATTAAAATAGATCTGTGCCAAGTTTGGACCAAAGGTGGCCAGGACTGACTCAAGTGAAGTGTATATGGAGCCTTCTTCCTCCCGCATGTTTCATGCAACAGACGGAAATAATCTGTCCCCTACTGTATAAGATTGGACAATTAATCTTTTCCAGTACTGCCAGAATTAATATAGGGACACTTAGTGAACCTGTTCCCAGCATTGACAGAGATGCATCATATTGATGATGATTTTATATGGATCTGAATATCAGTGTGATTAAATTTTAGGACCTGGACATTTTCTAGACCCTACCACTAAAATACATTTTAAAAAAATCAGATTCCAAATTTAAAGCAGCAGAAATCTCAAAAGAACAACTGATTTCTGAAAGCAACCTATACCTACCCTGCTCTCTGTGTGCGTGTCCTTTGACGTGTGGTGTGTCTTAAAAGGGGTGATGAAGCATTACAGTGTCTCCATGAACTATCCCTGAGTCAAGTCCCTAATTTATGTGAGTCATAAAGGTCACAGATTTCATTCAGAATACAAGAGTGTACCTCTATACAGGGTGCATTACATTATCTTCAAGTGATTGTCAATTACTTTACAAGTGGAAAATGTAACTAAGTCCGAATATTCAGCAGTTGTGTCATTGGTTTTCACAATTAGATTGATTTGTGAATTGCAATACTGTGGTGTGGTTGTAGCTCTCTTTCCTTTCACTTTAGGTATAACATTTATAATATCTGACTTACAAGTGCACATCTACATATGAAGAAGAGTCCTTTCCACAATAGTAAGCCTCTTCATATGCAAAAAGAAAAAAATACCCTCTATTTTTTGTCTGAATAG